CTGCCCCTCCTCTGCTTGCTCTCTCTCTCTCTCAAAAATAAATATTAAAAACTTTTTTTAATCTGGGCATTTTGTGTGTCAGATTGGTTTCTTGGTTTGTGTCCCTCTGCCCTGGGGCCACATTGCTGCTCTCAACCTGGATGTCACATTGGAAGCCCTTTGCCACCTGACCCCAATGTCATAGTGAACCTGGTATCTGGGCTACAGTTTGGCATCAGTTGACATTGTCGAGAGCCTCCTTCCTGCGACTCTGCCCACATCTGCTGCTGCTATTTCCTACTTCCTGCCCCACCCCATGCCCACTCCTGCCCCTAAAGGAAAACCTGGCAGGAGCTCAGAGGAGACCGAAATGATCCTTTTCATGTGTTTATTCTTTCATTCAGCCACTATTTGTTTAACACCTACTATGTGCTTAGAACAGCACTCAGCTATTCTCGGTGCTGAGGATACAGCAGTGAACATAACAGACAAAGGGCTGATTCTTATGGAGTTTACATTCTAAAGGGTGAAGACAGACAATGAATAAGTAAAGAAGTGAAATGCACAGTTGTCAGGTGGAGACAAGTACTACAGACAAAAATGAAGCAGGGAGGGGGATGGGTGTGTTGGGGAGGGGTGGGGATATGTTTTAGACAGGGCGGGTCTGAGAAGTCCTCACCAAGGAAGTGACGTTTCAGCAAAGATCTGAAGGTGATGAGGGAGGGGGGTGCAGGTGTCCAGGGGAAGGGGGCCCCAGGTAGAGGCAATGGCAAGAACAAATGTCTGGTGGAAAGAATGTGCCTGGCATGTTCAAGGATTGGCAAGGAGATAGGGTGAAAGGGACTTTGAGAATATAGCTGAATAGTAACACATAGTCCATCCCCAAAACTTGGAAAATGCACAGAAATGCAGGAAAGCACCTGTACTCACACTACCCAGAAATAAGCATCAATAATTTAAAAGTATGTACAGTATTCTATAGTCTTTGTTGAAGCAGCTCCCTTTGTAAAGGGCAGTTCCCAGAAAAAGACTTCAGCTGAGCACAGACAGAATAAGTGCATCAGGCCCTTCTGATGTGGGATCATCCTGAGTGTGTTACAAAGGACTGCAACATGCTTCATCTCCAGAGTCCTATCACACAGACTTACCCAGTCATGAGTATAGCGGTCTACCACAGTTTATTGTGTGCCACAATTTGTTTGACAAATAGACAAATAGATTTTCTAGGGCCCCCTGAGTGGCTCAGTCAGTTAAGCATCTCACTCTTGATCTCAACTCATGAGTTCAAGCCCCATGTTGAGCTCTGTGCTAGGCATGAAGCCTACATAAAAAAATAAAAATAAAAAATAAATTAAAATAAAATATGAATAGATTTTTTTTGCTGTTATATATTTCTAAATGTTTATTTGTTTATTTTGGGGGGGGAGGGACAGAGAGAGAGGGAGAGAGAGAGAATCTCAAGCAGGCTCTGTGCTGTCAGCTTAGAGCTTGACACAGGGCTCAATCTCATGAATGGTGAGATCAAGACCTGAACTGATATGAAGAGCTGGACACTTAACCAACTGAGCCACCCGGGCACCCCTTGTTTTTGCTATTATAAAGAACAATCTTATAGACAAACCTCTGTGGCATTTGCAATAATTTCGTGTAATGGTAGCTGAATTCCTCAAAGGAAATGGATGTTTTTAAGACA